CACACACACACACACACACACACACACGCAAATTTTGACCCACTCTATCTGCCACTGAAGTTACCATTTCTTTTTCAGGTATACGCAAAATAACCCCATCTTGCAAAATGTTTATCTCTACGAATCTCTAAACTATTTTAAATTATATATTATATCTTTGTTTTCTGTAAATCTTTATTTAATTAACTTATATGTTCTCTGTGGTCTTATATTGTACATTATAAAGGGATGTCATTTGTAGTTCACTAAATATAATGTTTATTATCATTTTGATAAAAATAACTTTGAACATTAAGCTATTCTTAAATAAAACACCCATTATAAATTTGCTTCTGTTGGAAAATATATGATCTAACATATATTGTTAGTCATTATGTACTCCAGATTAATAATAATCTGGGGACATCTATACTTAAATACTAGGTGGAAATGTTTTTCTGGAATGAAATGCAAAGAATAGCTGTCTCTGGAACCTAATTGTGAATTTCTGGCAGAACCGAAAATATTATAATAATGAGGCAATAATAAAATTAGGAAATTTGATTATTTTTAAATCTGTCTGTGTGATTTTTCCCCTTGGTAAAAAGACATGAAAATCATAGTTGAAGAATATTATTCTGAATTTATAGTTTTATATGTGTATATATATATATGTAATATATATGTAAATTCTTAAAAATAAATCTAATCTATTGTTACAAATTCTTATAATCCCAAGAAATTTACAAATGATATTACTATAAGGAGGATAACTTATAGTTGTGTAACATTAACCTTTGCTTCACTTAAAAAGTAAAGCAATTCAAAATACTAATTTACATGAAAGTTTGCATGGTTGAAATCTTGAACAAATAAATTGGTGGTTTTACCTATGAGTGATTAAATTATTTCCTTACACTTTTGCTATTATGTGATGAAGTATAACTATGTAATTAAACAGAATTCTGACAATCATATTCTTAACCTTACTTATTCCTTTAGTTAATAGCTTGCTATTTTCAAAATAAAGTGAAAGAAAACCCTTTATTAAATGTACTGTAACTGAAAATATATTTTGCATTAGTGTTTTCTCCACCTTATCCTACAATAGAATTTAAGTCTATTATTTTGGCTCTGACTTGGTAGAATGAGGGCATAATCATACTGAAAATGGTAAAAGACAAAATGAAAAGGGCATTAAAGTTCACACTTTTCTTTTGAGACAGAGTCTCACTATGTAGCCCAGGATGGCCTCAAACTCACAGTGATCCTCCTGCCTCCCGAGTGCTGGGATTGCAGGCATGCACCACCATGCCCAACAATACCTTTATTTTCTAGTGGAAAGACAGCAGGCAGTATAAATATATAAGTGGCTAGCGCAATGCAGTACACCTAGGTAATGCATTTTCTTCCAGCAGTCTGCTAACCCCTTAATAACCACAAAAAAAAATTGTTAAACATGATTATTTGGTAGACAAGATTTAACACCAAAGTTGAAATGCATGCAATTGTGACTATGATGAAGTTACATAATAATGACTTTCATCATTAATTTCCACCCATGTTATAGCATCCTTTGTCACTTGACTTATGATCTATCTAGAAATAAGTATACAGAATCTGTTTCTCTGGCCTAATTATTAAATACTACCTACCATTACTTGCTTAGGTTAGTAGACCAATTTGTTACAAGTATTTTTTATTTCTAGAGATTCAAACTTTAAAGAAAGTGTGAACCACGCTAGTATCAGACAAACCAAAATGAGTTAGGAAACCTGGATTAAGCAGTCAGTGGTGTTAAAGCGTTCTTCTAAGGATAGGTCCAGCCAAACCCATGAACTTGACAGTAGTAAAAAATTTATGAGGACTTTCAATTCTGTGAAGCCAGTCAAAGTTTGCAAAATACTTGGGAGAAGTAATGATAATGAATACATCCATTCTTCCTAAATGCTGAATTAAATACAGTTTTTTCAGAATATAAATTTTTCTATCAGCTGGAGAACAAATTGGTGGTATGAACTTGATGGACTTTCCCTTTTTGTTACTGTTAAATCATGGGACTTATATTTCCTAGGGAAAGTTTTTATAAAGTGTATAAAGGTTTATATAAGCTTTGAGCCAGCATCAAAGATTTTTAATAAGTACATGTCACATGGAAATGTCCCAGATCAATTAATCTACATTTTGCAATGTATGAAAAAATCAACTCTCTCTATTTTCAAGTTAGTTGAGAAATATGTTAGGCAAACTGCTCTAATTTTGGTATCCACATGGAAAATTATTAAAATAAATGAGCAAGAACTGAACAAAATTTCTAAACACTCATGAAAATATAAATTATCTTAATATATAGCTATTTGAGACCATCAGGCTACTGACTGAAATCTGATCTTAAACACAAATCATTAAATGATTATTAAGTTATTAATAAATGACAATAAATGACACACAATATCTCTTGGTCTTTGTTCTTTCGTCCTTTTAATTCCTTTTGATATGCTTCAACACTAGAAAGTAGTTCTGACAGTAAAGGGGGTGCAGGACTTTGTGTAGCACACATGAAAGTGGCTAAAATTAAGGGCATAAGGGAAGGCAAGAGAGAGCATCCTCACCAGCTTCCTAAGTTCCTGTCTCAAGACTGGCTGAAATTTTTCTCCTCTTCCTTCTCTTCCCTTCCTCCTCCTCCTCTTCCTCTTTTTTTCCTCCTCTTCTCTTTCTCCTCGATCTCTCACTGAATACATTTTAATCAAAGAAAATGGTTAGCATAGTCTAAAATAAACATCAAAACATCTTTTGCCATCTAAATTCTATACATTTTAAATGTATCTTTTTAAAGTTCTTTATTTCTCTTTGACATAAATTTTCATATGAGACAAATATGTTCGTGGATATTACCACTCATTGATTTCAATATATGTGTGACTCTCAGAGAGCTATTTTAAACATTGAATAGTCTTCTAAATATTAGCAAACATTAGTTATAAAGTAGTCAAAGGGGAAAGTGCTCTTTCAAAATTCAATTTACAAAGCATTGACTGAATCCTCTCATAGCTAAAATTCAAAAGTAAGGTTTGAATAGTGAAAAGAGACTGTGTTCTAAATTAACACTGCATGGGTCATTGAGAGATTTAACTGGGAAATGTAACAAATGGAATTGTAAGTTTAGAATATGTAAATGGGATGACTAAGTGCTATGTGGGAAAGAATGCCCACTGCTATTTTTAACGTGCACAATTTAGACTAATTTGGGGTAGCATTTGGTATCTCAAGGAGAATCAATATTGGACTGCAAAGAGTACAAAATGTTCACTCTATTCATGGACAAAATGTAACTCCATTCTTCATATGACACTGTACTTTCTAAAGCCCCCAGTGAAGATGTACAATGCATAGGTACCTCAGACGCTATAGCACAAGAGATGCTCTACTATGGTGTTTGACATTGTGAGCAATAAGTGTGATGCTATCTTTTACCATGTTTAAGCTGGATTCATGGGTGGGGTTTGAGTGTTCTTTTAAATACAGCAAAACCCTATTATCTCCCAAATAATTTGAATCATTACAGAGTATTAAGTAAAAGAGGTTGCGTTTGTCTTTTTTCATTCTTCTATAAGACCTCATAATTGCCCTAAAGTTTAATCGATATGCAACAGTTACTGCTTAGTATCACTAAGGCTTTTTCTTAACCTGGAGGAATGTTAAACTAAAAGGAATTTTCAACTCCATTACCATTTTCACTAGGTAGGGTACAACTTAAGAAAAAATTATTAAGTGAACTATTTACAAAAGCTTTGCAGTATTCTAACATATGGCCTTTTGAACAAACTGTAAGGCAAGACTACAGACTTCTGTCCATATTTTGTGTCAATATGATGCAAACTGATTAAAAAATGCCACTAACACACATTCTGGAAAGGGCCATAGGACCTTCTGTGTTCTGTCTTAATTTTTCTTCTTTTATTTTAAAGAGAATAATAAAAAAGAACAATTGCAAAATACCAACAATATAGACAAAACCAAAACAATAAAAATGATACAGGGTTTTAGAATAAAATGATAGGAATTAACAATAGTTGTTATATTACATATTCTTATCTTCAACAAAGTTGTTCAGATTGCCAGATGTAAGAATGCAAGATTGATCAAACCATTAAAGAGAATAAAAAATAAAAACAAATAAAGTAGAAATGGTACAGAGTTTCACTAGACAAGATGGTAGGAATTCAACAATGGTTGTTATATTGCATATTGTTGTCTTCAAATTAGTTGTTCAGATTACCAGATATAAGTATGAAAAATAGGTCCAAAAATTACATATTAATTGATCCTGTCAATAAGCAATTAGACATCAGCAGTACAGTTATTGCAGTTATTCCCTTCCTTCTTTCTTTCTTTTTCTCCTTTCCTTCATCCTCATTGTTCCTTCCTTTGCACAA